GGGGGACTCCCTGCCCTGCAGATGTGCCCCGGCTAGTGGGGGGAGGGAGAGGGAGCGGGGGGAGAGAGAGAAGGGGGGCGGCCAGGGCTTCAGCCGGGAAGGCTCCGCGCCGCTCCAGTCGGCGGGGAGGGAAGGACGCGGGCTGCCCTGCCGGGCTTGCTGCAGGGCACTCCCGTCCTCCACGCTGCTGCCCCCTACAGGGCAGCCGGAGCGGAACAACAACAACAACAAAAAAGCAGCCGTGCCGCCCTAGGATTGGGCAGAATGCCGCCTCCTACAAGCTGCCGCCCCAAGCACCAGCTTGCTCGGCTGGTGCCTGGAGCCGGCCCTGCATTCACACTCCTGCTTGCCACAAACTAATTGTCAGCGTAGACAAACCCTTAGTTGCTGGTGATGTGAGAGAGGGATATAATCCAGACTGGCTCTCAGGGCCCAGGCAGAGTTCGCAGGGATGCTAGTTAGGAAAACCTGAGCATGTTTGATATGAAACCTGGAGCCCCATTATGCCATTTCCACAGAGTAGAACCCCTTCTGGAGCATTGTACGTGCAGAAACCATATGGGCCAAAAGCTTTCAAGACAGGTACCTCAATTAAGCACCTAGCAGAGGTCTGGTCTGAGAGGTTCTGGACACCATCCTTTCCCACTGAAGTCAATGCAGAGGCCACATCCCTATCTACACAACCAGGTAGTTGAGGATAACAACTAGCCATCTCTTAGTCAGAACTCAAACTCCTCCCCCAGGCAGATCTGCACTCGGGCACCTTTAGGGGGGCTGATGTCCTCTTAACATGGAGAGCAGAAGGCCACAGAAAGGCGAGTGTATACAGGAGAACCTCCCTGTCTGAATATTCACGTCACTTAATAAGGGGGGAGGGGATAGAACCAACACCGGATCTTACTCTGAGTTAAAACACAAATCAAGTTGGTTATATATATAGAGAGAGAGATATACCTATCTCATAGAACTAGAAGGGACCTTGAAGGTCATCAAGTCCAGTCCCCTGCCTTCACTAGCAGGACCAAGTACTGTCCCTGACAGGTTCCCCCCAAATCCCTAAATGGCCCCCTCAAGGATTGAACTCACAACCCTGGGTTTAGCAGGCCAATGCTCAAACCACTGAGCTATCCCTCCCCCCTGTGACCCTGCAGATACGTGAACCACCTTCCCTGCTGTACTGAACACTTTGCAGCAGATGGGGAAAATACCCAGTGCAGCGGAGCCATTCACCTTGAGCACTGAGGATTTGCTTCAATCCTTACAGAGCAGGACAAAATCTCAAACAGAATTTATTTTAATTAACCATAGCCCCCACACACCCCCACCACTTCCACTCTCCATCCCCGCCCCCCAGCTCTCACCTTCTAAAAATTTGCGGATCATAGAGTCTTTTATATTCAGAGAAAGCTGGTCTCTAGCGACTGGGGCTTCGGGTTTTGACTGAAGCATCTCTACATCTGGAAGAACAATTGGGAAGAGTAATCCGTTAACTATGTCTTCAACCACACCGTGTTTTCCATTAGCTGTTCACAAACCCAATATGATTAGCGGACCTGAGATTTCTGAAACACCCAGGCCCACTGACCAGTCACTCGACTTTAGGATGGACAATTTGGACAATTCCAAGCACAAGTATTTGCCTCAAGAGATGATTGTGGGGCTAAGTCCCAGTAAGACTAGTGAGAGTTCCATGCCTAGTCTGAAAGGAGAATGTACCGCATTGTATCCAGTCTAAAACCATGTCTACACTACGGGGACTCTAGCACCATAGCTACATTGTGTAGATGCAGACTGTGGCAATGGGAGGGGTTTTTCCATCACTGTAGGAACACCACCTCCCCGAGCGACAGTAGCTAGCACAACGGAAGTTAGGTCAGCATAGCTATGGCACTCCGGGGTGTGGATTTTTCACACCTCTAAGCACCGTAGCTATGACAACCTCCATTTTAAGTACGGATGAAGCCTAATACCCCGCACTGGAACAGTAGAGCAGTGACACTACAATTACGTCTAAATTCTAACCCTGTCTTTATTTGCCCATAACTTCCCAACACTTTCACCTTTCAGACTGAAATTTCCAGGTGTTGTTCCTGCCTGGAGGAGACTAGTGTATAGAAAGGTTCAGCTGTTTAACATGAAGGCAGATATGCTATTCCCACCGAACAAGTTTTGTGTGATGCTCTGCAGCTGAAATGGCTGGAGAGGAAATTAAGACTGTAAGCTGTTTAGGATAGATAGAGACTGTCTTTACTACAAATCTATACAGCAGTTAGTACAATGGACCCCCAGTGTGGTTGGAGCCTCTAGCTGCTAGCAAACCTGCAGGGGATGGGGGCAGTGCCAGGGGGTAAGGAAAGGCCTCAGGAAAAGCCAGTAAGGTCTAAAAGGGAACAGACCTTGACTGCTGACTAGAGGGTCCCTGAGCCAGAACCTGGAGTAAAGGGTGGATCCGGGTTCTCCTGCCAGCCACTGAGGAAGTTGCACTCTGCGGCAGTGAATGGGAAGACTGCCCAGGATTGCTGAAGGAAGGGGAAAACATGTAGAGTGACCTGGCTGGAGAGCCAAGTCACAAAGAGGCAGCAGCAGCAGCTCATGGAGCAAGAGTGGGGCTTCTGACCCAGAGAAAGAGGTGGAGAGACGGCGTGCAACCATGGGAAGGGTGTTGACCTTGCATGCTATATCCCTGAGTGACCAGGAGGAGGCGCCATCCTAGCAGGGAGTGGAGCACCCTGCCACAGACTCCTATTTAGGGAAGCATGTGAGCACATTCTTCCGGGCTTTGCTGATCAGGGATGAACTTTAAGAATGTTAAGCAAGTGCTTTAACTATTACAGGCCCCATCTGTGGAAATGCATGTTTTGCTCAAGGTTGGTTTTACTGTGGCCAAGTTATAAGCCTCTGAAAGTCGCTCTCTGCTCAGTACGTTTTGCACAGGGTTTCTGCCAAGTTCCTCAAGTGTGCAGCTAAGGAAGGCCATTGCTGTACAGGCAGAGGCGAACAACAGATTGAGTAGTGGAGAGTTCAGTGAAGGTGCCGACAGGGCGTTGAGGATTAGCTACTGTTTGGAAGACACTTTGGGCTGCTCAGCTGGAGTTGGCTATACACGTCCAATGTTTCAGCATTAGAGCACATGTCTTTGTACAGAAACTTGTCATTTTTATCCAAGTAATCAATAATTTTAACAGACTGGTATTTACAACTTATACAATCAGGCATGAACCAAGCCATTGATGTATGGATTTCGGAGTGGAGTAGACAGCGTTGGGAGTGCAAAATTCCTTTCCTTCTCTGCATAGAAAACAAAGAGACAGTCTCATGTTCCCCTTTTTTTTCAGTGCTCTGCAGAATCATTAGACCAGCACAGTAACAGGAAGTTGGGGAGTTTTCTATTGCGTAGCCAAATCTTTTCACCATGTAGCGTCAACTACCAGAGATAACTACTGTATAAGAAGGCTACTGCTTTTCTGGGTAAAATCGATCTATCTAGCTAATAAGTTGTCAATCTATTTCAGACAGAGAAAATCTTATACCAAGGGATCACTGTTACACTTGGTTAGTGAGTGACCCATGGTAGAAACCAGATCTGCTTTATGGGGCATTAGCCAGGATTAGTTAACAACTCACTAATCCCACCAACTGCCTGTAGGGTATGTGTTCCGTTTATGGGCTGTTCTTTTTTTCCTTTCCCAGTAGAAGGCCAAGCTGATTTACTCAGTGAAGTAGACGAAGGGGTTAGTGGCGAGATCACAGGGAACTGCAGACACTGACTGGGGGAAGAGAGATTAGCTTCCCGGATGTAGGCAGGCCCTTGGGCTTGCCTGACAGGCAATTACCACATCATTGTCTCCTGGCACACAGATCTGCCTTGTATAAAGATTACACCTATTAATGTTCTACCCATGTCACCAGATCGAGCTGAAGCCTTGGACATCCCCTAGATGGATTATCTATTCCCCTTACCTCATCAGAAATGAGACTCTGGGGCAGGGATTAGGGGGAGAAGAGTCACCCACAAAGTCTGGGGCTCACAGCCAGGTGCCCAGCAATAGTTTGCAAGTGACCCTAGGTTTGCTTGAGCTAATCAGGGGACCTAGGGTGAAGGATCTTGTGGTGTGAAGCCAACAGGGAAAGGAGAGGCCATGCTGGAATCTCAGGTGTCATGCTACGTAGGATTTAAGATAAAAGACAGCCTTCTGATTTCCCTTCCCATTCTGTGCAGCGACTCGAGATTTCATGTGGGTTAACAGCTTCTCACTCAGCCAGTAGAGCCTTGGACCTTCTGGACGTTCAGTCACTGCCCCTTGGTCTTAGAGACACCAACTATACACATGGGCTGCCTCAGTGCATGGCTGCACTTGCCTTTTATGTTAGCACGTAAAGAAACCCCTGCCCCCTTCTCCATTAAGTCTTCAGACACACTTGTGGTCAGCTATTACCGAGCACACACAAAGCCAGCTGTGTTCAGAGGTCAGTTCTCTATTACTTAACACAAAGACTTCCGTGTTTTGTCATAATCCCACCCCAGAATTTTAAAGCAGTTACATTTTGTGCATTTTGTACATTTTGGAGGAGGGATAGCTCAGTGGTTTGAGCACTGGCCTGCTAAACCCACAGAAGTGAGTTCAATCCTTGAGGGGGCCATTTAGGGAACTGGGGTAAAAATCTATCTGGGGATTGGTCCTGCTTTGAGCAGGGGGTTGGATTAGATGACCTCCTGAGGTCCCTTACAACCCTAATAAAAAAAAAATTCCCTTTGTTCACCTGAGGAAGACAAGAAGGGTGCAGTTCTGTGCACTACCTACAATCTGTAGACACAGGTTAGAAAAACCTTGTCTATGCAGGGGGAGGGGGATGGAAATAACACAGCTCACTACGTTGGGAAAAGACAATGTGAGCAGCTAACAAAATCCACTCTTAGAAAAGATTCAGGGGTTCTGAAACCGCGTTCTGCACTTCATGGCACAATCATTTAAAAGCTGCTGTTCCAGCAGTGTCCCTTCCAGAGGGGGCTTGCAAGATTAACTATTTAACTCTCTAAAGCATGAAGCTCTGGCTGCATTAGTTCCTGAACCTGGATGCTCTATGGTTAAGGTAACAGGGCTGGGAATCAGGCAAACAATCTGGTGCCCCAGATCTTTGTCCAAGGTCACATGCACACAGCAACAGAGGGAAAGTGACATGGTTATTTACCCATCTAAAATAGAGTTAATGCTCCTCAGGTGGCCGGAAGCAGGGGTACCAGAACAAGGAGGACCAGGGGGCCATGCTCCCTCCACTTTTTACCGGACGTAAGGGCAAGCCACAGGAGGATGGTGCGGGAAGGAGTGAGTGGTGCCTCGGGGGAAGAGGCGGTGCAGGGGCAGGGTCTTGGGGGAAGGAGTGGGGCGGGGTGGGACCTCGGGAGGGATGGGTGACATGGAGGTGGGGCCACAGTTCGGGTGCCTGTGGTCCCCCCACTTTTAGGGTGCTTTGGCTGCTCCTGGCCGGAAGATTGCAGTTTGTTAAATGCACTGAAGTCAGTGGATGCCAGGCCCTAGAGAGGGGCAGAGTGTTATTTGAGTAATTGCTAGAGGGGGAAAAGGGGGCTTTATGGCTGCAGACAGTAGTGTTAAAACAATTTGTACAGTGGGGGTGCTGAAAGCCATTGAACCAAACCGTTAACTCTGTTTATGATGGAAACCACTTCAAGCCAGGGGGTGCTCCCACACCCCCAGCACTCCTAGTTCCAGCACCCTTGGCTGCAAACAAAAATAAGTGTCATAATTAGCAAGTCAAAATGTGGGTCACAGAACTATCTAGCCGAGGAAGTAAATGCCTTCCCCTGGCTGGGAACAGAGTGAACAGAGTCAAGAAACACATAGCCTTGGAGGAGGGCAGAAGTTCCCTATAGCTTCCTCCTACAAGTATATCATTGCTCTCCTTATTGGTTCAGAGACTGGAATAAAACGTAACAAATCTCCACCTTCACGCTCCAGTCGGTCGTCACTGAGCTGCATGTGCTAAGGCCTTAATACATGGAGCCTTCTGCGGTGTAAGAAACAGACCCGAACAGTGGCAATCTACAGACATGGGGACTTTGGCCAGTTCCTTGACGTTGTCTGGTACTTCTGCATGACAGGATGTGTTCTGCTCCACGCTTTAAGGAAACTGTTCCATTGCTCCCTCCAGCAGGCTTCACTACACGCCCTCGCTAATCAGGTGCATCAGACCCTACCCTCTGGCATCTTCTTAGGAGAAGCACCTTCGATTCCAGGCACAAAGTTTGCCCTGCACTTAGATCAAAAAGAACCCACTGGTTAAAGATTAGTCAACCCCCAAGAGTTAGGAGGTGGAAGTCGGGAGAACAGCTCTAGCACACAGACTCATTCAAAAGGCCACATTTCCTAGATCCAGGGTTTGGAACTGAGCAGGAGAGGTTGGTGAAGGAAAAGAGTTCACAGTGGTTAAGACAAAATGGTCCCTTTGTTCACAATGCAGAAGTGAGGTGAAAAGGATAACTCCCCCTTCATACCTCTTGGCTGCATCTACCTGCAACCCACAGAAACCTGCTGCAATTTCCTTATACCTGAAAGTTTCAAATACTTGTAAGGTCAAATGTAAGGTGTAATCAGAGGGACAATTGTACTGAAGGGGGAATTCTTACAATGAATGGGATGAAATTAACCAAAGGACAATTTAGGCTCAATATCAAAAATATTCTTAACAGCAAGAGCTATTTGGCTGTGTGCTAGTTTGTGAAGGGAAGTAGATTATGAGCATTTAGAACGACACTGGGGAAGTGGCTGTAGGGAATAACCCTGCACTGGAGAGGGCCGGGGACACAGAGTTCTGTATAGGAACAGTTCTTTCCCAGCTCTATGGTTGTGTGGCCCATCTTAAAACTGAACTTCATGGGACACTATCAGCTTAGACATCACACTGGTGTCTGAATCTGTCCTAATCCTAGCACAAGTAACACCTCTTTCTGGAACTGAACGGTTAGAGAAATTGTCAGACCCACAAAGTAAAAATTCTCTGTGTTCCTTGCACAGAATCCATTTCCCTAGGCCAACAGAGAGAGAAAAAAGCATTGAAAAGACTAAAGGGATCAAGACTAGAGACTGGCTGGGGGACTCAGTACCAGTGTGTAACCTGAAGCTATTTTTAATGCTTTGAAACTGATTACATTTCAAATAGCTTCTCATTAAACTAGGTAACCACTTGGTGCTTTCAAGCTTTCTCGGGTCAGTTCTCGAAGTGTGTGGCAAGAACTGTGGTCCAATCCTGCCAGGTGGGCATGTTGCTGATATGGTTGTGGCTTAGTATGTCCCTTGTTCAGAGAAGCCATTGGAAATACTAGAAATCAGTTCCAACCTGGAGGAAATGTGTCAACAAACATCATGTTTCACTTTTCTATGTAGTTTTTCATTTCCACAGAACTTTAACTAGGTGCCAAATCTTGAAGTCTATAATCATTAAGTCAGTCCTAACTCAGGCAATACTCCCACCACTTTCAGTAAGGGCTTGTCTTGATATCAGTATAGCTTATTTCAGACACCAGTCAAACACCTGTATGCTGAAATAACTGCATCAACACTAAGTTACACCACCAGTTGAGCTGTATCTGTCTCTACACCAATACAGTTACATAGGGGCGAAAACTATCTAGGCCTAAGAATTTTCCCAGGTAAAGACTCCGTAAGGCCTTCAAAGATTTATTCTTTATACCACTACCAGCCCCTGGGGTAGAAAGGGATAGCCATGCGGAGTACAGAAAACACAGCACCGCTCTGGACACAAGAGCAAACACACTGTTACAGAAAGCGCTAGAGGCTTTTTGTCCATGCAGACAGACCAAACCTCAGATTTAAAGAACAGCTCTGTTCTGCAGAGTTTTTAAGATGTCACTCTCTTGTTCAGATCTGCTCCTTGTGCGTATTCAGAGCCAAGATGCCCATTTGTGACAGAACTTTTTGTTCTTTACTTCCGCCAGCCCTGCAGAGCCAATACAGCAGTGTAAACTGGATTCAGTTCCTTTTTGTGCACCAAGAGAATCACTTCATTCTAGTCTTTTAGACCTCTGCAAAGCCACCAAAGTCACTGGCCTTGTGCACATGTCGCGAGAGTACATTGGGGCCTACAGAATCTTTGCTACTGGTAAGGTTCAGGAAGTGCAGCCCGACTCAGACCCCAAGTTTGCAGGACTGGCAATCAGCCTACTTTTACTCATCAGCTGAGCACATTTGATCTGAAGTCGGAGAACACAGTATGGAATCTCATGAGGCCATTTTGAGAGCATAGCTGCATTCTACATTCCAATTCAAAAGTCTCAGAGAGTAAGTTATAGGAAACCCTACATCAAAAGAATGAGTAAGTCCTACTGCGTTTCTGGAGAGTCTCAGCATTTCAACCCACTAAACTCAACTAGTTTTTCCTCCAATTTTTTTGGCCTGCCCACTTTAAATACCTTAAACAGAGATCTACCCACTCTCCATAGAACTATCCAAACGAACATCTAGAAACCAATTCTACACAGACTACTTCTGAAACAGCACACATTAGCCACAGCTCCCCAGCTCTCACTCAAGTACTAGGGACAATAGGATCTTTGTGGCTGAGGCATTCAATTGCTCCTGCTGCTTATTCTTCACCTGAAATCCTAACAACCTGGTTTTGTAGCAACATAACCATCTCCACAGCAACCAAATGAGACGTCACAAAGACGGGATTATGAATTCAGGTGAAGGATAAACAGCAGTGGCAACTGAACCCCTAAGCAACACAGATCTTGTTTTATAGTGTCCTTCATATTCATATGGGGAGGAGAGAGCAATCCAAGATATATTGTCTATACGCAGAAGTGTTTCAGTAGGAGAAGTTTTCCCTGAAGCAGTGAATTTTTTAAGTGCCAATACCCTCCCCTCCCCTCCCCCGACAGCTGATTTTCTCACAAGCAGTTAAACAGTAGCAACCCACACTTTTTAACTTGTCCCGCCTCCTCTCAAGTCACTACATTGGCTTCTCAGCTTCTACATCAGATTGAAGTTCCTTGTCCTTCCTTTTAGAGATCAGTCCTACTGTACAGGAGGTGCCTTTTTTAACATAGTCCTTTCATGCAGAGCAAGATCTGCAGTCTAATGATGAAAGCATTACTTCTTTTTATGCCTGTTATCTCAAAGCCGACAGTAGCCCAACCATCTTTTAGTGTTGCTGGTGTGGACCGAGCAGAAATGTTACAATCAAAACACATTATAAATGCAGTCAGGGAACTGCTATGTGTAAACACTCGGCTTAACATAATAAGAGATTTAGTTTGACAAAGCCTGCAACAATCCACACAACTTAAAGTCTATACATACACAGATCGTCTGTGGCATCAGGGGCAAAGTTGGCCATGGATTCATAGAGCTCATCATCACAGCCAGGATTCAGGGAGCATTTCATCAGCAGGTCGGTGGAGAGGTGAGCCATGGACTCATAAACAGAGTCATCTTCCTCGCCCTGCATCAGCTCCTCCTTAATGTGACTCTTCAGCATATCAGCAGTTTCCTGGAGGAGGGAGTGTAAGCAAAAGACTCAGTAAAGAGAGAATCTGGGAAATAAAGCTGCTCTTGCTGTGTGAAGTGCAGTGCATTAGCATGTTCAGATTTACTGAGTGCATGTGAAAAATGTTTTTAAAAGTTGCATCCATCCAGGGTCCAGAGTTAGCAGATTTAATTGCTGCCCATGCTATAAGCAAGCAGAGGACTTAAGTCTCCAGGGACATCCGTCTGGTATATTTCAGCAGCACATCCATCCTCTGAGCCCACAACTGCATCTGCAGGTCTCCCCTTCTGGGAAATCAGTGCCAATATCAGGATAAGTCTGCCACCCACTTGTTATGGAAAGAGCCTTCCAGTGTAAACCCATCGAAGGCTGAACATACCTTAGTCCCCATCATAGCTGCACAGACCCGGGTCTATGCTACAGTGGATAGCCAGGTCTCTGAGAGGCCACCCAAGCTGTCTCTAGCAGCACTAGTGTAACCCACACACCTCCTGGGTGTGGTCTTCTTTCCCACCTAGTGGCACCGAGACCACTTAGAGAGAGAAAGTTAAATGAGTCTGCTCGACAGTCTTAGCTAACAGCCCGTTGGCTTTTAGCTCATGTGGTAGAGGCTCATGCACTAGGCTCCATAGGTCCCAGGTTCGATCCCGCCTGCTGACGACCGGGGTCTGTCGGTGTTACACTAGCACCAACATGAGATCCTCCCTGGCCACCTGCTGTTGAGCTGGCTCCTCTGTGGAGCTGAAGAGGGTAGCTCAGTGGAGGAGCAAGTTTGGGTGCAGGAATCCAGCATAAGGAGGGGGACAGGAGAGAGAACCCAATCCCCCCAGATGCAGAACAGCCATTGAGAGAGGAGGCAACATGGGAAAGTAGGAGACCTGGCTTGACCCCAAAACCAGCAGCTGCCGCCACTACTGTATGGAGTGGAGATTACAGATTCCCCTGCCTAGCCCTGCAATGTATTAGTGATATGGGGAGATGCTGTGTTTGCCTTTGCCGGCTATTCCAGGTACAGGAGAACACCCCTAGCCAGCGAGTACAACTTTTAAACAGTTGCTGTTCCTCTGCTAACTCCGCCTCATGCCTCACACACTTGGAAGTGCCAGGACACATGCCAAACTCATTCTAAGGTGGAGATGGCTCAACAGAAGCTGCCGTTGGAGCCTTTAGCTGGAGATGTGGGTTGAAGAAACAGTTCCTCACACCCCAAGCATTGAGAGAAAGGGCCAGCCCCTGCTTCACTCTGGATTTAGTTTCCTCTTTTTATGACAGTTGTACTACAACATGAAGCTATGTGTTCTGGGAGTGCACAGCCCGCCTCCTCCGAGAGACCAACAGGAAACCTCACAGCTGATCATCGCTCGTGTAATACCAGCAACTTTCGTTTCTCAGGGCAATGGAATTCTTTGTGCAGCTGCTGCACTAGAGAGCAGCACTAACTTTACAAGGCCTGTGCTGGTGAGGCAGAACACTTCCCCAGCTGCTCTCCCCCAAACCCAGCACCGACTATGCTCCAGGCCCAGCCACTAGCTCTCTGCCATACAGCTGGAAGGAGCCTTCTCACCTCGCCTCCTCTGGCTATTGCTACAGTGCCTTTTTAGTTATTAGCATCTCCGGCTCTCGCCCCCACCAGTGGCTGCACTAATGCAGACCACTGACTTGTGCTTACAGTAAACGCGACATGGCGGATAGCGCATTGGGGCTGCTATTTCAAGCCTGACTAGCTCTCTCACCACAACAGGCGTGGGAGAAACAGCTAGCACGGGCCAGGCCAGGCCTGTGACGCTCATGGTGTATTGACCAAAGAATAGGGCTGGAGGCAGCTGGATTTTCTCAGCCTCCTGCACTTCTCCCGGAAGTACACAGGTTTTAATGAAAGAGAGGAGATTCACAGCCTTGTAACCCCACTGACTTTGGGGCAAGGCCACACAACCTGGCTAGTAGCTTCCCATCAGGAGCCTGCACAGTCCATTTTAGTCTATCACTTGCCTTTGCACAGAAAACCATCACAAGACCTAAGTAGCACCCAAGTCTTCAAAACAGGGCTTCCCCCCTACCGGGCAGGGCGAACATCCCCCTCCATCGTCTCATTAAGTCCCTCCACTTTTGAACATGTAACCCCCAAGCTAACAAGTGCAAGGCCTTCTGCACAGAGATCTAAACCCAAGGCGTCACCCTTGTACTTGCAAAGTGCTTGTCACTTTCAGAGCACTTCCCCTCAGCTCCTTTTCCTGCTGCTTTGAAGTGACAATGTGCAAAGACTTTGAAGTGCCGGCAATCAGAGAGAGTTCTGGGGCCCCAGCATCCCAGCACACTCTGAGTCAGTGCTGCGGCACTTCGCTGGACAGAAAAGGATGGAAGGGCTGCAGCTTTGGCAGCATTAGGGTTTATCTCAGGGGCTTTACACCAGGGGTCGGATGCCATGGATGCATCGGTAGCAGCATGCTGGTCCCGAGGGTTGAGAGTGAAGGGGACCAGAAGTGCATACTCTGTTTCTATCTCTTCTGCTCCTCTCTGAGAGCCCTCTACCCATCTTCCCCAGTCTCCCATGCTGCACCCAGCTGCCAGCCCCACCTTACAGCAGAGAGGAGTCATGGTATGCCAATTTCCTCTCCACCCTCCTCCACTGCTTGCCATCCCAGTGCGCAGCACCGTCCTCAGTGACAGGTTACCAACCTGACGGAGAGCAATCTGGGGCAGCTTTCACTGTGCAAAGTGCATGCCCTACAGCCCCCTCCGGCAGCACCTTGCTCCCTCTTACCACGTATTCGTCAATGAACTGCCGCAGGTCCTTAAAGCCATGGTTTTCGGCAATGTTGTTTGGGTAGTGCCCATACTTGTTGGCTACGCTGTAGGCTTGCAGGGCTCCTGGGCAAGTAAGCAGCAGGGCTGTGAGGTTCTTCAGACCATATTTTGCAGCAAAGTGAAGTAGCGTCGGCAGCTCTTCGTCCCTCTGATCTGAGAGAACAAAGGCTTTTAGAAATCAAGCTCCTCTCTGGCATCAACACACCCAGTGGGTGATGAATGCAGCGGCTAGTAAAGGGGGAGGCACACAAAAGCAGCACATTAAATAGCCCTGGAAGAGCTCCACCATGTCAGAATGGAGCGGAGCTCGGCTTGCAGGGCTGAGCCAGCCAGAGCTATCTAGGACATTCGGATGCCCAGTTCCCATTGGTTTTCCTGGGAGTTTAGCATCCAAATCCCTTAAGGCATTTCAAAGCTGCAACTTAGCCATGAAAATCTCAGCTTCAAAGACACTTAGATCTTCTCATGAAAAATGCTGCAGGAGGGCACACCTGCCTGGCACAGTGGGGCACCGCTGGCACTGCATTTGGCCCCATCTCTGGATCAGCTGGAAGGGCAGGGAGAAGAGAGTGAAAATGGGAAAAGCTGTTCTCTGGTGAATGCATCAGCAACATGAGGTAGGGGAGCACATCAGGTGTTGGGGGCGGGGTAGTGAACCCTCAAGAAACTAGATGGCAGAGTTAGCAACGAACAAGGCACATTCTCACTAAACAGTGGCAGACACATGACATCATGGCGAAGAAGCACGTGGCTAATTTCAGCCTGAGCAAAGTTCGTAAACGCGCCTCCCAGAGTGCCCGTGCATTTGCTGGTTCCATGCCAAGGAGCATGCTTTGCTCATGAATACTGGTGAAGCAGATGTGCACAGCCCATGTCAGGCACTGCCCAGGACAGAGGCTGAGGAAGGCTCCATCTGGCATGGGGGAAAAGGGAGCTGCCTGGTTTACAGGGGCTCTTTCTGGATATTCAAGGAGCAGCACTGTTCAGCCAACCCCGGCTGTGTGTCAGCAAAGTGAGGATCAGGAGATTAAACACAGAGGCAGGCAATACAGAAGAGGATAGGGGAAAATACTGCCAAAAAAGGGGTCCTGGGGTACTGGCCAAGATCCCCAAAAGCCATGTGCTAATCCCGGGGAATTTGGCAGCACTCTGACCACAACAACAAGGTACCATACCTGGAAAGGCTGCTCTGACCCAGGCATTTAAAATCAAATCACCCACTATCAAACTGGGCCTGTTTTCAGAGACATTGCTGTGTCTCATTGCTGAGGCTGTAAGTGCTGCCCAGGCAGGTCCTAAGGCACATGGTCAAGGTGGTCTTCACTGTACTCATTACTTTTACAAAAACAGTTGGCCAAGACTTTCAGGAGTGACAAGTGATTTCGGGCCCTGGGCCTCCCAATTTACTCTAATTGTGAGCTCAAGGGGAACAAGGAAGTGAAAGTGCATAAGCTGTCACAATCACCTAGAATAACTAATGTTGATGGGAAAAGGTACAAAAAGGAGACAGAAGAATGAATTAGTCCAAACATAAAGGCCTCTTGATACAGTTCAAGGACTGTGTTAAGAACATGCCTGGTAAACAAGAGAGACTGAGGACCAAAAATGAATAAACCAAAATGGATATGTTGGATATTAGGCCTAACTGAGGGAAAATAATGAGGGGATGGGCTATTGCACCCGACACTCCCTTTTGGGGTCATTAAGAGACTTTGGGGAGAAAAATTGGCTACTGGAGCAAGTTTCACCATCATGGCTGCCACCTCCAACATACTGGGATCTGTTTTGTCCTAAGCTTGAGGGATGCATGACCAGACTGGGCCAGAGAGAGGGACCCAGATGCCATCACCCCCTACCAGCTCCATCTGAATGCCAACCACCACCAGGGATGCAAGACTGTGTCTCGCCCCCCACCCCCTTGGTGTGGTCTTTTCCTTCCTTGCCTTACCTCTTCTCTTTCCTATCTCCTTTTTCCTTTTGTCTAAGAACAAGACTGTATATTTTCCAACACTGCTGTAAGCCTGTCACCAGAAAGGCAGCTAAAGGCTATGCCCTAGACAGCCCAGTGCTGGAACAAGTTTGCCAGTCTCGCTGTGGCTGATCAGACCGTGTGCTTTGCCTGTGTTTTTCCAAGAGCGGAGCTGCAAGTGAGAGTCAACATCAGAGAGAAGCTGCATTTGCTCTCTTTGCTGCTCTTTCCTCTCCCCTGGTGTCTGTGTTTATCTCGACTTGTCTTCTAAGAAATGGGATCAGACTTTAACAAGTCCAGTAACAATGACAGCTCCAGTCCAGCTTAACTCATTTCTTTTCTTTCCCCCTCAAAAGAACAGTTATTACCAAATACCAACTAAAAGACTGCGGGGGGGGGGGGGGGGCTTCTAAAAACTCTCTCCAGCTAAAGGAAAGGGAACAAGGGATGTTGTTAAAATGAAAGCCGTGTTTAATACCCTACGTTTCAAATGCTATTAACTGTTTTTCATTCTTTTCTGTATCTTTCAATAAAGAGTTTAATGCGGGGTTGTTGTTTTTTTGCATTGCTGTGGTCTCTAGATACCAAACCCCAAACCTTGTTTAATGTTGGACAGTGACTGGGTTATGTTAATGCCTTTGTCTCTTTGGGCCCCTTTATTCCATCTGAATTAATACAACAGCACCCAGTTTAGCACCTTGAAAGGGAGCTCATTTTCAGAGAGCAGGGGCTCAATTTTCTTTTAAAGATGGCTCATGTTGAGTGCCCAACATCACTAGGCACTTTTGAAAATCTTGGCCATAGATTATTGTCCATCCTGCCCCAGGCCTGCCAAGGTAATGGTTCTTTCCTCCATTCTTTATGTGTTAAAACCCTGTAGTTCCATTTTACATGGTGCTGCAGGTGACTCATTTTACAGCCATTGATTACAGGCAGAGAGTTGTAACAAGGACGTTTTTTAAACACTTACTTGTTGTCATATCTTCTTCCTCCAGCTGGTTGATTCCAAACAGGTGCAAGCCACTTGCAGGAATGTTGTTCTTCAATGACTCGGTCAACAGTTTGTCCAGAGCTTCTATGTTATATGGTACTATTTTAAAGGCCTGAACACAAGTGAAAGGTAATTTATCTTGCGGGCATTTTCAGGCCAGACATTCTATTCAGTTTGGATGTATAAAGTAGGTTAAAAACAAAAAAACTAAGTCAAGAGAAGAGAATGCTAAACACTCAAAGACCAGAAGGGCTAAAGTTAAGGTTGTACGTGCAAATTTAACTGCTTCCTGATGCATATTCATGATACTGTATTTAGTTACATGATCAGTTGCTACTATTCTCAGTGACTGAGTATGCAGGTTGGAAAGCACAGTGAGTGAGCCTGGAATGCAAAGATTACGGTAAGTCATTTCTTGAAACAGGAGCGAAAAATGAAGGAGTTACTTTACTTTTTGCGATACACTCAATTAGCCTGATCAGTTTCACATGTTGCACAAGGCTTTTATGTTTAGCTTTCTAAATGATTTGTTATTTCTTGAAGACTTATTCCAGTTTCTGTAAAACCCAGTTTCTCAAGTTAGCAAACTCTAAACTGGGGGGTTAAATTACTGCAGTTTCCTTGGGCTGCCAATAGATCTAGGAGTTACCATAGCTCCTCAAAAGGAGAGAGCACACACTGCTTTCTGCAGATGGGAAACATTAGGCCTAATTAATATTGACTGCGATAAGACAATTAGATTACATTTCTATCCTTCCAGCAAGCTCTTTCCTTCCGAGCGCTTTGGAAATCTTTTTTGCTCACCTCCTGCCCCAGAAAGGGCTGATTTCAAAAGTTGCCTTTTTTTCCATTGTCATTACCTGGCACATGAACTCCACTGGATTAGCTGCATTGGCCAACAAGTTGCCGATCTCTTCCATGTCAGTGTAATAGTTGATGTTCGCTTCCCCCACCATCAAGTCACCTGAATATATCCGCAGAGATGCTGCTCCAGATGTTAAGTCTTTCAAAGGAAAGGAAAACAATCCCCAGTAAGAACAGGCAATGAGCGTGAGCACCCAGAAGAAGCACTGACATTAGGAGGGGTTTCACTCCACTCCATCAGCATAAGCTTTTCAATTCGTGGGTGAATCTGGCATGTGTCAGTAGGGTTGCCAATTTTGGTTGGATGTATTCCTGGAGATCTCATCACGTGACATAATCTTTAATTAAAGATTCATCTTTAATTCCTATCTACCTCATGGAGCTGGAAGGGACCCTGAAAGGTCATTGAGTCCAGCCCCCTGCCTTCACTAGCAGGACCAAGTACTGATTTTGCCCCAGATCCCTAAGTGGCCCCCCTGAAGGACTGAACTCACAATCCTGGCTTTAGCAGGCCAATGCTCAAACCACTAAGCTATCCCTCCCCCCTGACTTTTGGGGGGGGGGAAATTAAGATTTTTATTTTTCAACCGAAAACATTCATGACTTTGACATGAATTCACAAAATGTTTTGGTCAACATGAATTTGCATTTTGTGGTGAAAAAACTTTCAGATGAAAAATTTTGCCCAATTCTAATTATGACCTTTTCTCAAATGAAGCAATAGAACCACTTGACTCAAGAAATCAAAATGAATGTGGATTAACTAACACTATAGGGAAGCTACCACAAATTTAGAAGACGCCTCGGAAACCCCACTGCTAAACTTTGGGCCAAAAATCTAAGTTTAGGTTTGTAATTTTCAGTTTGGTTGTTTTACAAACCCAGAACGAATAAACGGGTTTGCATGAATTAAAGAGCAAGCTACACTAATCAGTTTGTTAGAGACTTGTGTAACGAATTACACCTCTACCTCGATATAACGCTGTCCTTGGGAGCCAAAAAATCTTACCGCATTATAGGTGAAACCACGTTATATTGAACTTGCTTTGATCCACCGGAGTGTGCAGCCCCCCCCCGGAGCACTGCTTTACCGCGTTATATCCGAATTCGTGTTGTATCGGGTAGCGTTATATCGAGGTAGAGGTGTATGTACCACAAATATATATTACATAATGATTATATATATTACTGGTAGGAAATAGAAAGGTCTGTTTGCTTTTTGTATGTGTTTCGGGGGATGCAGCAGTTCAGATTGTGCTGATAAGAAAAGTGGTTTGCGTATCTTATCAGTAAAATTATTGGCCTATGCAGACAGCAAGGTGAAGAAGAGGGAGCTGGTAGCTTTGGAGTAAATCCGGTGCACACCCTCTCTCTCCCAGCAAGACAAGCTAATATGTAAAAACCCAAAACCACAAAATCATACCAGTAAGAAGAATAAACAACTACTGCAAGACAAGAACAACTGGATGGAGTCAGTGGGGTTGAAAGCAGAGAATAGATGTGTTGGAAACCAGACACAGAAAAGTAAGTTTTAGCAGGATAAGCACAAATGTATTATTTGAGGTTAGTTATTGTGATTTACATATGAAAAGTTAGTGGTTTAGACTAGATAAGGACATAGATTAGGTAACTTGATAAACTGAGTCTGCACAAAGTTAAGGAACAGGGAATAAAAGATAGAGACTGACAATAAGAAAGTGAAGAAGACACAGAGGAAGAAGAGTTGAACATAGCAGAGACCAGAGATTTTAAGAATCACCCCAAGGAAGGTAACTTGATCATTTATTTTCTTGCCTTATATGTTTTTGTGTGTATATGTAATTCCTAGGTGACAATAGCATTGTCTTAAAAAGGTACATAATCAAGGCTAAAAGAAACTGTTTAAGCCTAAATTGAAGTGGATCTCATTTTTCACCCAGCAAGTTTCACTTTCGATATCCAGTGTCCCATGGATCCGGCAAGCACTGTTGCATTTGTGTTTTTTTCCCTTTTGAGGGATATTTAAATTCCCAACATAAAGAGTGCTAACAAAAACTGCTTAAATGTCAAACTTTCCTAGTAGTTATATTTTGTGCCTATACTACCCAGCTGTGTCCTTTGAAGCCATTCCGTACAAAGAATGCCATTTCTGGAATCAATCTTTTTCTGATGCCCTGGTGGCGGTGATAATATTTTGCACTTCTATAGGTTCATTCAGCTTCCACGTGCTTTACAAGCGATAACTGTTCTTCAAAACTCCCAATGAGGAGGGAAAGCGTTACAATCCTGACCTTACTGATTGGGGACACAAATGCACAGGGGACAAGGGACTCTACCAATCCCACACTAAGACGCAGAGCTGGGAGGAAGTAGAAGTTTGTGATTTCCCTGCCTCTAGCTTTTTGTGTTCCAACCTCTAGATTGTTCCCATCTGCAACAGTTTAATTCCCAGCGGGAGAAGTTCTACCTACCAGGAGCCTGTACGGAGACAGTGTATTCATTTTCCATCTTGACTGGCACACGCACAGATTGGGCATTCTCTGGAAAGAATTCAGCTTCTGTTTTCACTTGACAATCCAGTTTACATTTCGTGATAATATAAAGTGTTGTCTGCACCTAGGAGTAAAGGCATCACAACATGTAGGTTCACAATATCCTGGAGCCGTTCTTCATTGCAACCCGCGCGCTGCTCTCCCCGCTGCTGAATTCAGCTCAGAGCAGTGGGGACACCTTTTCAGGGCTTCTAAACTCCACTTGGAAAAAGTAATCCACTACAAGTGATTGCTTAGAAACTTCTTCCATGTCAGATTTCAGCATCACACACAGGGCTCTGTATCTAGGTTCTGTGGGTGGCTGAATAAAGCTGAAGACGGTGGATTGGGGCAGGCTGTAAAACTGCCAGACATCCTGGTGCTTGCATCTGTGTTTAGGTGACAGGTTTTAATGCCTCGGGGTGCCATTTATATGGTGAAAATATGAAATCAGTGCTTGTGGCGCACACTAGATTGGTTTCATTAGCATCATAAATGGCTCCCTTAGGCTCAAGAGCATCTGAAGGACAAGCCCTAAAACAAATATTGGACCCTGTCTACATCATGATCTATAATCCACAACTTCTAAGGCTTTGTCTACATTAGCACTTTAGTCAGTAAAACTTCTGTTGGTCAGAGGTGTGAAAAACCACACACCCCTGACTGACAAAAGTTTCACCGACAAAAGCATGGATGAGGACAGTGCTATGTCAGCAGGAGAGCTCTCTCCCGCCGGCACAGAGTGGCTGCACGGGCGACCTTACAGCAGCAGCACAGCTGTAAGGTCTGTGCAGTTGTAAGGTCTGTAGTGTAGACATCAGAAACTGGTTAACTCTCGGGGGAAGGGGCTATATTTTGCGTGTTGAAGCAGCACCTGGCACAATAGGGACCCAATCCCAGCTGCTTCTGCAATCTAAGTTATACGTAATTCCTTCATGTTGCACAGATGAGGCAGTACCCAGAATGCCCAGTTTTGCTGTTCATGAATGTGATGCTTCTCAATTCCATCATAGCCTTGCACAGATTATAACCCTGTCAGCAGCATCCTCCGCTCCGGGTATAACCAGCAAGATCTCTTGTTACGAACATACACCAGCGCAAACAGAGGAGTTTTGCAGATGGAGTTTGTGGACAGAGCTGGGATCTCTGCTACTTGCTTGTGCAGTTTCAGCTTCATAGCTTCTTACCCTGAAAGTAAGTTTTTCCCGCTATTACTCCAAACAGCACAACCATCGTGATGTTATTGCTCATGCTCAGGAGAGGATCAAAGAAAGCAAATTGGAACAAATGTACATTTACTTTTCAGACCAAAAAGGCGTATTATGACTTCCTCAGATTTTTGGTTACTTCTTGTATCTATTTGTACAGCACCTGTCCAGCGAAAGCTCTATTTGTAATCCAAAGTATTTCAGTGCCACAGAACTATGAACTCTGAGAGGGGAAGTTAAACCAAAAATAAATCTCTCTTACATCATGCTGTAACTCTCACTCAGCTTCGTCTCTGCTGAACTGTGAAGGGGAGTGAATTCCTGGCCCAGACTCTCAGGTGAGGGATCTTACTGCCAGCCCTGGAGAATATTATCCTAGGGACTAATAAGACTCCCAGCCAATCTTAGTCTGCCAACACAGTGCATGGGCATCTAACATTTTATATGCTATAAAGTAAATATAGTGTTACTCTTTTCTCACATAGCCAAGACTTTAAAGATCACCAGTGCCTTAAATGTAATCACTTAAGTGTTTTGTTACACTAACAGGTCATCTACTACAGTGATTGTAATCTACCAGTATCCTGTAGGTCTTTTCATGCACACAGTCTCTTATGCAAGTAGACCAGGATCTCTCAACCATGCCAGTGGGATAGAGCCTATTAAAAGCAGAGGATTCAGACATTTCTAGGTACCAAAGATGACAGAGAAAGCCTACCTCAGCTTCTGATTTCCCCCTCAGTCTTAGATCATCTATAATTGTATCATGCCATGAGTTCGAGATTCCTAGCCATTGCCGGTGACACCTCAGACAATGCACTTATCCTCATTTTAAACACGAGGAAACAAAGGCAGAGGTGAGTTACCTACAGCACACGTTGTTGCGAGGCTTAATTCATGAAGGCCTGTTATCACCATGTGGAAGGCACTAGAAATGGATAAAGCTTTATAGCATGTATAGTGCTGGTAACACATGAGGCTATGATGTAACCTGGAAATGCCCTGAGATGATGGATTGCCCAGTAAATGCACAGGGATGGTAGCAGCATCGTTCCCATGGATGTGGCACTTACAGCTGTCCAGGAAGTTCCAAACGTACCCCAGGTTTCTTTTTTCAAGTTGCTCAGGACCACAAGATCTTGAGGCTGCCCAGTGCTCAGCCAGCTTCCCAGTTAACTTTGCGCTTTGTGGTGAGGTTGTCTCCACGTCAGTCATACCGAGGAGAGCACACAAAGATCTTAGGCCTCAGTCACAGGCAAGGATGTTTCACAAAACACAATCAGCTATTTCCTTTGAATTTATTCCCACCCCCGTTCCATCCCACTAAGGAATGCTTCTGCCACACAGGGCACCACTCCAGTTCAACAGCAGCATTCGTTCTCCTATGTTCCAGCCAGCATGTTCAGATGCCACCACACACAGCCTTGTGCTACAGGTAGGTAAATCTTAGGCTTGGTCTACACTAAACCCCTAAATCGAACTAAGGTACGCAACTTCAGCTACGTGAATAACGTAGCTGAAGTTCGAAGTACCTTAGTTCGAACTTACCTCGGTCCACACGCGGCAGGCAGGCTCCCCCGTCGACTCCGCGGTACTCCTCTCGTCTAGCTGGAGTACCGCAGTCGACGGCGAGCACTTCCTGGTTCGACTTATCGCGTCCAGACAAGACGCGATAAGTCGAACCCAGAACTTCGATTCCCAGCCGCCGAAGTAGCGGCTGGGTGTAGACATACCCTTAGAAATCCATTAGAAGCTCAAATTCAGTTACACATAGTGACCAGTAGGGGTCATGGCTGCTGCAGTTAAACAAACCCTTGTCCCAGCCACTGGACTTGCGAGTTTCACCTCTGTCACTCTCAGCACCCGCAGATCTGGAAACAAAGGCCTAAGAGCAAGTTTCAGACCCACCACCCTCTCCACCCCTCCCTGAACATGGGAGCATATTTTGCTACTGTGCATCTGAGCCAGAAATGCCCAGTATGGTAAAGCCATTTTAGATGAGGTGACAACAATACTGCCAACCCCTAGCATCCAAAAATCAAGAGTCAGGTGCAAAAATATCATGAATAGCTTAAACAGATTTTGGATTCTCAGTTGCCTACTAATCTGCACTTTTATGGCTCATGTTTTCAAGTTTCTCTGCAACCATGAAGCCTAGAAACTCTAAATAAAAGCTGAGTGTTCCATGGTCACATGACTCCAGGAGCTGGGGCTTTAAAACAGACTCCAAATATGGAGAAACTATACAAGTCTGGGAGTTGGCCACACCATGACAAGTATGGAAACATATTGAGTTGCTGCCCTTGTTTCATTGCACTAAAAGGCTAAGCTGGTGCTTTTTCCACAATGCATGAAAAGGAAATAATGTAAACTGGTGGTCACATTGCAACACTGCAGTGCTGCTTAGCTGTTGGGTTTTTCAAGTCTCCTGTAACAGTCAGTACCTCAAGTTGTATGGACATCAGATCTCAAACTGAGCAGTATCAGGCTGGGTCAGACCAGAACATATATCCCCAGATACGGAGGGAAGTGAAGTTGGTGCTCCATTAGGTGGTGCTCTTGTGTCAGAGTTTGCTGGGGCATATGTACAGTACTCTTCGTTTGGGGAGAGAGGCGGGGGAGATGAGCTGTGCTGACAGAGATGCTGTCTTTCAGAAGAGACAGGAAACTGATCCAGATAATTTGCAGGAAGTGCCTTGGGACCCTTACAAATTGGTGCGTTAACCCCAGAACCTGAATATAGTCCACCATGACTTATTACATTCCACCAACCTGAATAAGCCCATAAAAGCCTGAGCCTCTTCCACAACCTTCAGATTGGGTGGCAACCCTGTTTAAGTCTTCATCAGAGGCATTACAGTACAGCCAGGACAACCGTAGGACACTGAGTGTCACAGTATTGCTCCTGGGCTGCGGGAAGGAATCTCAGGAGATGGAGACACTGAGGGTGGGGCTGAAGGGAAAGAACTGAGCTTGGGTCTCCAGCATGGCAATGCAGAGCACTAGCCACTAGTGCACAGTACAATCCCATGTTGAGAACTCTAGAGGAAATGGACATACTGTACCCCACAGCGTATGCGGTCAGGCTGCACCACCAAGTCTCCCAGGGTGCTCTTGGATGTCCCATGCTGCTGACTCATTGCAAGTTTCCTGGAGTAAACTGGGTTTCTCTCGTCTTCTGCCTCTGTATCAGTCACAGAATCGCAGCCAGAGTCTAAACAAAGCAGACAGAATCCCGTTAGGTCATTCTCATGCACCAAAAATACATGGATGCATGGAGAAACACACAAACACAAAGTATTCTAAAAGAGAACCTGCTGAAATTCTTAAACAAGAACTCAAAAAAGAAGATCTAGTTGAAGAAAGGGGAATCAACCAAGTTTCCTCATTTATTCCTGTAACGGGACGTCTGGGGTTGGTTTGCATTTGTTCACAGCGACATACAGCTCCACAGAACTGCTGTAGCGGCACTGAATATGCTTATTCAACAGCCCCATTCTATGAAAATGAGACTATACATAAACGTCAGTTACAGGAATTTGGTCATCAGCTGGGCTGATTCTAACAGTGCACACTCCTCTCCCAAAGCAATTAAAGGATAATTGATCCCCCTTAGCGCCAATGATGAGCCTGCTTTTGAGGGCCTACTTGTATTGCTCACCACAGAGAGTTATATCAGACTATTGGATCCACCCTTTCTACTCCAACCCAATCAGTCTCTGTCAGGGTTCCCCCCTCCCACTCTGAACTCTGGGGTACAGATGTGGGGACCCACATGGAGACCCCTAAGCTTATATTCTACCAGCTTAGGTTAAAAACTTCCCCAAGGCACAAATTCCTTTCCTTGTCCTTGGACGGTATTGCTGACACCAACAAGTGATTTACACAAAAATTCAGGGGATGGTCACTTGGAATCCCTATCCCCCCAAAATATCCCCCCAAGCTCCTTCACCACCTTTCCTGGGGAGGCTTGAGAATAATATACCAACTAATTGTCTTAGCAATGTGAGTACAGACCAGACCCTTTATCTTTAGAACACTAAAATCAATCAGGTTCTTAAAAGAAGAACTTTATTATAAAGAAAAAAGTAAAAGAATCACACCTGCAAAATCAGGATGGAAGGTAACTTTACAGGGTAATAAAAAGATTTAAAACACAGAGGACTCCCCTCTGGACTCAGCTTCACAGTTACAAAAACAGGAATAAAACTACCTTTGTAGTTGCGGGGGTTCGGGCAGAGCTGAAGGAACTCTGCATGTTTTTGTTAGCAGCTGTGAGAACTGGAGGGTGCTGCACCTGTCTTGAAGGTACTAAGGGCAATCCCCAAGAACCATAAGCCCTCACAGATTGCCTCAGCACCAGGAAGATTGGATGAGATGAGATTAGACAGGATTTCAAAGACCTAGATGAGCACAATAAAATATGGACAATCAGCACAGCGTCCATAAAAGAAACAACAATTCAGGCCTCTCTAGTTTATTAGAATTGTATGATCACAGCTACAAAGCTGGGAGGGGCTACAAGTGCTTTGGAGGATAGAATTTAAATTCAAAATGATCAAGATAAACTGGAGAAATGGTCTCAAGTAAATAGGATGAAATTCAATAAGGAGAAATGCACAGTACTCAACTTAGAAAGGACAATCAGTTGCATACATGCAAAATAGGAAATGACTGCCTAGGAAGGAGTACTGCAGAAAGGGATCTGGGGGTCATAGTAGATCACAAGCTAAATATGAGTCAACAGTGTAACAATGTTGGGGAAAAAAGTAAACATCACTCTGGGATGTATTAGCAGGAGTGTTGTAAGCAAGACACAAGAAGTAATTCTTCCTCTCTATTGTGCGCTAATTAGGCCTCAATCTGGAGTACTGTGTCCAGTTTTGGGCGCCACATTTCAGGAAAGATGTGGACAGATTGAAGAAATCCAGAGAAGAGCAACAAAAATGACAAAAGGTCTAGAACAATGGTTCTCAGGGTCCGGGGCCCCCTGGGGGGCCACAAGGAGGTTTCAGGGCGTCCATCAAGCAGGGTTGGCATTAGATTTGCTGGGGCCCAGGGCAGAAAGCTGAAGCCCCACCTCATGGGGTTAAGCCTGGGGCCCCGAGCCCTGCCACCCCAGGCTGAAACTGACTTAGCTTCATGGGGCCCCCTATGGCATGGGGCCCCAGACAGTTGTCCTACTTGCTACCCCCTAACACTGGTCCTGGCTTTTACACACAGAAAACAGTTGTTATGGCACAAGTGGGCCGTGGAGTTTTTATAGCATGTTGTGGGGAGGCCTCAGAAAGAAAAAGGTTGAGAACCCTGGTCTAGAAAACATGAACTATTAGGGAAGATTGAAAAAAAATTGGTTTGTTTAGTCTGGAAAAGTGATGACTGTGGTGGTGGGGGGGGGGGAATAACAGTTTTCAAGTACATAAAAGGTTGTTACAAGGAAGAGGGAGAAAAATTGTTCTCCTTAACCTCTACAGATAGGACAAGAAACAATGGGCTTAAATTGCAGGAAGGGAGGTTTAGACTGGACATTAGGAAAAACTTCCTATCTGGGTGGTTAAGTGCTGATATAAATTGCCAAAGGAGGCTGTGGAATCTCCATCATTGGGGATTTTTAAGAGCAGGTTAGACAAACACCTGTCAGGAATGGTCTAGCTAATACTTAATCCTGCCATGAGTGCAGGGGACTGGCCTAGATGACCTTGTGAGGTCCCTTCCAGCCCTATGATTCTATGAAAACAGTGGTCAAGGAGAGCCATCTAACAATATATTTGGATTTGTTAAAGCTTCTGAATGGTTTGATCTTGTAGGGCATTTCCTCATAGTCCTAGTCCTGTCGCCTGACTGGAGGCTATGGAAACAGCTATTAGGTAAAGTGAAAACAGAATGAGCCATGTTAATCAGTTACTCGATTAACGGCTGATGGAGCAGCCAGCTGGGGGAACTTTGGATATGAATTATTCAGCTGCTCTTTCATTCAGAAAACTCTGACCCTTGCCTTACTAACTTCCCCTACAAGCAACTGGGCAACACTGAGGGGGCTATATTGAGAGACTGAGTTCCCCCGTCACTGATACCTGAACATGCATGCACCAGAGCACAGTCCACTTTACTATTCCTGGCAGTACAAAGACCCAAAGGGACAGGCAGAGTTGGCCTCATTACACCATCTAGGCACCTGAAGATTGACCCAACCCTCTCTATGCCACCATCTATATTTGCAAAATGGGTATAATTATAAGTGAAAACATCCAAATAAGAGAGACCACAACTGAGAGGGTCTGATCCCTTGATCAGTAAGGTAATACCTGACTTGAGCTTCCACTGTCAGTAATTATTGTATTCAACAACTCACAGGTGAAACACTAATCTCTGACTTGGTAGGGAAGGACCCTTTCTGCTCCCCTTCAAATAAACTACCCCAAAACCAGGCCTGACTGCTTCTGAAGTACCCACGAGAACAGCAGTCAGGCAAGGAACTATGGTCCTACAAACCCCACTGCATTTCCTTTTGAAGAATGGACATCCAGGCAGTGCTAGTAGCTGAATGTCTCAGAGAGCAACTCCATGCAGTGTCTCTCCCATCCCAGCCAAGCCCTCCCCCTCAGTTTCACAGCCAGCTGGGCTGTGTGATTTCAGTGTGCATCTGTAGCCCCCAGTCAAAAACCCGAGAAAAACTTGGTCTGGCCACCTGCTATGCTAACTGTTTACTAGAAATATAAGCCAATGGGAAGCATTGAGTTATTTTAATATACTGAATATTGTTACGCACAGAACATACATCCGGTCTGTCATCCATTTCCTCCTGACTTCACTGATTTTATCTGCATGGAGCTGACAGCTGTGGTTTCTTAGTACTTAGAATTTAGGCATGTGAGCTGACTGAAAGAGTCTGCAACTTGTCCAGAGTACTTCAGCCTCTGGATATTAATACAGTTCACAGGACGTAGCATTAACCAGCCCGACAAGGCTGAGTAATTAATTCGCTACACTTGCGCCCTTATGGGTGATCTTTGGACACATTTTTCTCCATACACTGCTTCTTTCCCAGCTGAGGTAGCATGATTAAAGAACAGCCGAATTTAGTGTCAATACACCAAGGATGAGTGTGAAAGCCTACATGTGGACCAGCACCTCCACTTGGACACTGAGTTCAGATCTAACTGGGCAAACTCAGCTGTATTTGCCAGAAAACTTGGTAAAATCCTAGAAGTGACAAGGAACTTTGGCAGAATTACAGCTGGAAAAGTGAGGCCCTGTCCTCCGTTGTACTCGGCTCCAGGACGAAGAGAGAAGAACAGTAACGCAGGGCAGACTAGTTAGCAGAAAAGCACAGCATAATGGTGCGGTCATGGAGGAGTTCGGAAACTCCACACACATACACATACACAAATGTACATCTGGACTGGGAGAAGATAATTTTTATCTTATAGGTGAGACAGGTGGTTACCCACAGCTGGTTAATAAATACTTTGAGAGTCTCAGCCTAAACATGCTGACCAAGTGCAAAGCCCTCTGCAAACATTTCATTGATCCCTGTGAGGTAGCATTTCACAGGCACAGAGGCAGTATCTCCAATAGACTTTCCTTAAATTTCCTATCACTGCTCTCACCACTGAAACGCCACAGCTTGTGGCTATGGTAGGAGCTCTAGCATAAGCCATGCCATTGGCACTTTAGCGTCTGTCACGCAGGGTACGAGTATAACAAGTAAACACACCACTGGCATGCTCTATGCTCATGCTCCCAGAGCGGTTGCTACAGCGAGATATTTTTAAGAAAGTCTCTAGCGTAGACACCGCTAGAGACAGAATTTCAAAGCCTCAATACCTCAATGTAAGAGGTTCTTACTTGGCAGCTATGGGATACCTTAGCTCCCTTGTGCTCCTGGAGCTAGGCCCTTTGATGTGGTTCAGCCCTCCAGGCAAGCCACAAGTCTCCCTATTCAGGGCAAACAGGAGTTCAAACTCAGAACACGTCCTGGGCCCTCAGACCACTGCCTTCACCCCTGTCGATGCAGGGCTGGAACCAGTTTTCCCTCCTGAGACTAGTTCAATAGCCATTTCTCCCCCAACCTGTCCCGATCTTCCCCACCATTGATACAAGGGAGGAAGGGGGCTGGCTTCCTCCCCCAGAAGCTCCAGCTACAGGCCTCAAGACAGAAGCTAGTGCTCCATCTGCATTCCCTTCCCCAGCCCCTGTGCGCCCTGTGCCCAC